AATATGATGGAGCTTGTGTCAAAATGATTAATGGGTTTTTAATTAACCCATTAACCTTTGACCCGCCCCCTCCCCGTGCCCTGTGTTTGACCCGGCCCCTCCTCCCTGCGTCCTTGGGTGCCCTTGACCTGTGGTGGCCTTGTGTCGTATGACCTGATGTGTAATTGAATAATAGGTGTGTCATGCGTCAGACCTCGTGATTATAAGGGAATCATTGATACGATGTGAGATTTATGTTCGAAGGGGATCTCTGGTCCTTGTGATTATAAGGGAAACGTTGATATGATGTAAGGTTTTATGTTTGAACGGGTTCGTCCCACCACATTCCAGAGGAGCGGATGGTTGTATAAATGGATGTGTTGTACTCTTGAATCTCACTCATTGCTTCTGATTTTACAAAAGTATGGAGAATTTATACTCACCTAAATCCCCAGAGGGATCGATAAATGATGATCTGATGGAAAGTCTAGCTATGGCACCGAGAAAACCGCATGGACATGTGAGTTTGACAAAGTTTCTCCATGAAACTACGGACTGGTGTAAAGGCGAATTTCTGATGAATAGTGGCGTGTATTCGGATACATATTTCACAAACCGTCTCGAGTTGTTATGCTCTACACCAGTGATAGTGCTGGCGATTTTAAACCGGGAGAAGACATATGTCTAGTATTTCCTGAAAAAGACTGGTCTTTATTTTACAAACTAGTGTGGAAGGATCTGAATGACAGTGGTGATGAACCATTGTACATTGCCGAGTGGGATGGAGCCACCCCGAATGTTCGATACCGAGTAGTCGGCGACCACACTAAAAAGAATCCGGATGATTGCGTATACATATTCTGTTGTAAAGACACGACAACGCTCGGAAGTCATTCAGGACGGGTGCGTCAAAATGAGCATCTTGAGATGTATGAAATGCAATTTTTGTTCAAGTGGTGCGATGTGACTCTGCTGAGTAGTATTTTTTCAAACATAAACAAGATGTTCAAGTGGTGCGACATGCAAGCCGGATACAGTAAAATCAAAGTGCAACTGTTCCACCCTGAGAGATGCAGCCGAAGCGGGAGATACAAGTGGCCGGCCCCGCCCATTTACTATGGTCATAAAACTCCGCAGTCAGACCCCGCCAAGTCTCATTTATAAACCATGGCTGAAGACGCCGCTTCAGAACAGGCACATGTGTGCAGTTGCGGCATCTCTTTCGATTATATTCCTGGACCTCCTGACGACAACGCTACCGACCATATTCTGACCTACACTCCTGGAACCTCCGACCCCCACAAAGACTGGCTGGATAAATTTGGCACAGACCTTGGAGCTCGCAACCTGACTTTCCTGTCTGATGCAAGTAGCGGTAGTGAGTTTGCAGTCAAACCCTGTTTCGACGCCACGGATGGATGCTTCACCGAAGTTGGATTCAAAATCATAAAAGCCACTGTCGTGCTGTTGCTGCAGCATCTCATCGGAGATAAGTTGAAGAAAGACTGTGAAGGGTGTGCGATAAACCACCCTAGCCAGCTACAACATTCCTGTCTGTTTGACCCCCCTACATACTACTTCGATACCTACTTTGACGAGCTGTCCAATAGACTGTTTAAACCCAATCTGCATTTCATCATCGGGATTGTCCTAACCCGCTGCGGTTTAAAATCCCATCCTCACCGGATTCAAGGAACAGTCGGAACTATTCTGCACGAATTAAAAGACGAGCCCTTCATCGCCGCTAAGCTAGAAGAAATCAGGGTTAAACTTTTGGACAAACCCTGCAAGGCCATTGTCTACGACGTCGTTGATCTCTGGCAGGGTCTCTCAATCGTGAATGGCTAGTGAACAAGACCCCACCAACATGGGTGTTGCCTGTAGCTTAAAGAGCTGTATGGAATCCATGTTTAAAGAACATTACCTGCGTCAGATGGAGAGTCTTATGAACAATGCGATTTGCGACGCAACCTACCCCGATAGATCAGGCGGTCCAGACACCAAACGTGAAGCAAATCTCAAGAAAATGATGGAGTATATAAGAGGATTGTCTGGTTCATGGTCTGAAATGACTGAAAAATGTATTAATGGACCCGACCCCCCTTGGTGTAATGGTAAAAGAGGTTGTCGAAATGATGTGCGATTCACAAAGCGATATTGGTATCATAGATGTTTTGTGCATGTTAACGTATGTTGTGGATGTATGTACGGAGCTGAATCTGCAGTCGAGAGAATATGAAGACGATGCAGACAGAGTTGTTGAAATGATGGAGAATCTCAACGACATTACCATAACGTTTATCAAATATTTACTGGATCAAAACCTGATGGTGTGTCGTGATTTCCTACTCTGGCTAGATTATCTATGATGTTATTACCTTCTATTTTACTAACCAAAATATATCAAATTTAGTGTGATGTATTAATACCATTTTACTAGATGTGATGTGATGGAATAATTTTACTGGGTGTTGCATCTATTCATTTTACTGTAACAGTATTATATTAAATAAAAGAATGATTCATACCTTTGTAAGCGTTATTTTTTCAACGTAGTTGATACATCAACAACATGACGGAGCTTATGAAAAAGGCCTATTATACACCGGCCAACCCTGGTTCTTTGGGGGGTAAAAAACGGTTGAAAGACGCTGTATTAAAAGACAGCGGTGTGCGTCTAAGCGATAAACAGGTTACGGAGTGGTTGTCGGGACAGGATGCTTACACATTACACAAAACAGCTCCTATAAAATACAAACGCAATAGAGTAGTGGTGTACGGGATTGATGCTCAGTTCCAGGCTGATCTCGTTGACATGATAGCATACTCCAAAGATAATGACGGTAATAAATATTTGCTAACGTGTATAGATGTGTTTAGCAAGTATGCGTGGGTACGAGTGCTGAAGAATAAGAGTGGTCTCGAGGTTACTAAGGCGTTTGAGTCTATACTCGAAGAGGGGCGTATTCCGCAGAAATTACAGACGGATCAAGGGAAGGAATTTTTTAACAAACATTTTCAAGATGTAATGAAAAAACATAAAATCAATCATTTCGCCACTGCCACTGATTTGAAGGCCAGCGTTGTAGAGCGGTTTAATAGAACATTAAAAAGTCGCATGTGGAGATTTTTAACAGCTACAAATTCCCGTCGATACACAGACGTTTTACCGGATCTTATACAAGGATACAACTCTAGTTATCATCGGAGTATTAGAATGAGACCCCTGGATGTCGACAAAGTAAACGAGGGTCAAGTCTTTCAAAACTTATATGGCGATATAAAGAAGCGTGAGAATCCTCTATTTAATTACAAAGTAGGCGACGTCGTAAGAATTTCTAAAGTGCGAGGGCCGTTTACCAAAGGTTATGAGCAGAACTACACAGAAGAATTTTTCACCATATCCTCCTGTATTCCACGACACCCCCCGTCTACAGAGTATCGGATTACGACGGCGAGGTCATCGATGGTGTTTTTTATGAAAAAGAGTTGCAAAAAATAATTGTGAGTGAAAACAAAACTTTTAAGGTGGAAAAGATTTTAGGTCAGAAAAAACAGGGGAAATCTACGCTTGTTTTAGTGAAATGGCTAGGATGGCCTTCGAAATTTAACAGTTATATCGATAAAAAAACTCTGCTGGACTTACAATCTCCTTAAAACACGAGTGTATTATCCGAATGTTCTCATACGCGTCAAGGATTGTCATGGATGACCACGGTTTCTACGTCACATTACCCTGCAATGCGTCACGGAGTGTTTATCCAGAAAATCGCATATCCAGCTATACAACCAGCTTAGCAAAAGCTATAAACTTGAAAGGAGGGTGGGAAGTTGGACTCGCCGAAATCGAATATCCTAGAAGTTGGTACACCTTTAGCGACGAGGATGGGCATTTCACGCTACACACATCCCCGGTCCCCAGAATGCCGGAGCCCTACAAGACAGTGAACCGTTTAAAAAAGACTTATCCGGGTTTTTTGTGTCAAGGAAATTAGAAATAAGCGGGGGGTACTATGCAAACATTCGTGCGATCATACGTGCGATAAATAAAGTTCTCGCACCAACGGGTCTATTGGACCATGACGAATTAAAAAATAAGGTGTTTCTGTTAGCGAGACCCAACGTTTCAGTAACATTCTACGGAAGACTCGCCACTATTTTAGGTGCGATACCGAATGACGCTCTCGGTCGGTCGGCATACCATAAAGAGGCTGATTTTAATACAAGTACTATCACTTACGCCGCTCATCAGGCTGATATCAACGCGGGGTTCTATACGATCTACGTCTACACCGACATTATCCAATATCAATCCGTCGGTGACTCGTACGTCCCTCTTTTGAGATGCGTTCATATAACGGGTAAAAGCAGTGATACAGTCATTGCTAGATACGACAACCCCCATTACGCATCGATCAGCAAGGAACACATCACCAGCATCACTATAGAGCTGAAGGACGATCAAAACCGTGAAGTACCATTTTCTTACGGGAAAGTTATCGTAAAACTACACTTCAGACCAAAGAATCATTCTATTCTTTAAAAAATGAGTATTTACTACAACCCTAGAGAGTCCAATACCGCGGACTATGTCGCATATTACCAAAATCAGGCCGGCGGGGGTTTACCAGGTTATTCTGGGGGCGGGGTTATGTATGGAGCAGGGATAGGCGGTCTTTTTAGAGGTCTGTTCAGGATGGCTATACCATTGTTAAAAAGAGGATTTAGCATCGCGAAACCCCACCTTAAATCCGCGGCTAAAAATATAGTATCCGACGTCGTCTCAAACGTACTGACGCGACCGCATAACGATAATGCTAAAGCTCAAGACGGCTCGGGTCTGATGGTCATGGCCCGTAAGAGGATGTCTAAACCACCGGGTGTGAGGAGGCGTGGTCTATGGGGCAAGAAGAAGAAAACAATCCGTGTATCAAGCAAACGCTCAGTCGTACGCAGAAAACGTAAGAAGTCTACAAGTCGAAACGCGTCGTTCAAGAGATCATCAAAAACCATATTCTAACATGGCGCTTCTGCATCGCATGTCGGGAGAGTGTATTAAGTCTGAGTTGGACTTATTTACGGTTCCTCTGACGCAGACGGTTATCGAGAAAAACGGCTATTTAGAAGTAGCCCCTTTATCTGCCATTTCGGACACGGCCCCGCTGGAGTTTTTTATAGCAGGGAACGGGGATGATTATCTGGATCTAAATAACACAATGTTATATCTACGTCTTAAAATCACGAAGCGCAACGGAGATGCCATCGCAGACCCAGCAAAAGTAGCTCTGATTAATTACCCCGGAGCCACTATATTTTCACAAGTCGACGTGACCCTCGGGGACCGCTTGATTTCTCAAAGCTCAAGTACGTATCCTTATCGATGCATCATTGAAAGTTTGATCAACTACAGCAGCCATGCGCTGGAATCTCTTTTCTCCGCGGGGTTGTTTTACAAGGACACGGCCGGTCACATGGACGTGAATGACCCCATAGGACGCAACTTGGGATTGCTGAAGAGATCTCGCTACACCAGCGCTAGCAAGGTGGTGGAGCTGCTGGCGCCTATTCACAGCGATTTATTCTTTCAGGAAAAACTATTACTTAATGGCGTCGATGTCAAAATACGTATGACAAGAGCAAAAGATGAATTCTGTCTGATGAGATGTGACGATGTAGATTATAAAATAAATATAGTGTCAGCATCCCTATTTGTCAAGAAAGTCTCCGTATCGCCGCCTGTGAGACTGGGACATGCCCAGGCACTACTCTCAGCAACCGCCAAGTACCCCATAGATAGGGTGTGTCTAAAAAATTTCTCCATACCTGCTGGGGCACGTGTTTCAACTCAAGAAAATTTGTTTTTGGGGACCCTGCCAAAATCTATCATCATAACCATGGTCGACAATGACGCATTCACCGGGGCCTACGACAAGAACCCATTCGCCTTTAAACATTACGATCTTGAGTTCTTAGCGGTCTACGTAGACGGACAACAATTCCCGGCGAAGCCTCTACAGCCTAATTTCACAGACGGTTTGGCCGTACGTGAATTTTATCAGCTGGCGATGACGACTGGAAGACACCTTAAAAACCAGTCGCTCTCTATCGACAGGAGTGACTTCCTGGATGGTTACACGCTTTACGCATTTAATCTCACGCCTGACGAGGAATGCGGACAACACATCTCACTCATCAAGTCCGGGAATATCCGCCTCGAAGCCCGCTTCAGACAACCGCTACCGAATACAGTTAATTTATTAATTTACGCAGTTTTTGACAGCATCATTGAGGTGTCTAACCGTAGACAGGTACTGGTCGATTACTATTAAGATGGATACGTTACAACTAACATCCGTCATGGATAAAATTACATGCAGGACTCATTTTCTCGGAGTTCTGCCGTGCGATCAACTACCCAAAACCCCTTTAAGGATCTTACCATCGATGGGGATCATTAACACCCACCCTGCTCGATTGCCTGGTGAACATTGGGTTGCCGTTTATTTACCCCATGAGGGATCGGCATGCTTTTTCGACAGTTTCGGTAACCCACCCAGCAGCCCTCGCTTTCCAATCGCCATCAGTAACTTTCTGGAAGCCAATGATGTCGACGTTTTATATTCCAACAGACGCGTCCAGGATTTTTCATCGGATACGTGTGGACAGCACTGTGTGTTTTTTCTATATCATTTAGCCAGAGGTCATGACTATAACCATGTGATGAAACTATACACGGATGATTGTATTAAAAATGATAAAATGGTTTCGCTATTTGTGAAGAAATTAAAACCTGATGTTTGTAATGATAAACTATTATCGTGTGTTCAGTGTGTGCAGACGTGTGATACTTTTTGTCGTTTTGATAACCGTTCAACAATGTATTTTGCATGACATAAATAAATTTCTAAAAACATAATATTTTATAGTCTTTTATTCACAGATTAATCACGCGGTACATATGCAGACATACACAGCTTCAAATATTCAAAGAAAGTCATTAAAATTCCAGCCAATTCCAACGGTCAATAGTCGACGATTTAAACATAGCGTCTTTTACTTCTGGACTTGTGGAATATGAATATCTTCTGACTTTTTTAGAAGCTCGGACAGGGGTCGATACGGATGTGTCCGCGTTACTCTTTAGAGCGTTAATCGCCTGTCTGACATAATGGTTTGGTACTGTAGAAAAGGGTATGTTTAATTCGGCAAAAGCCTGTAGAAATTCAGGCCATCCTACAGGTCTCCGATCATCCCGAACCTTATAGCGGGCCGTAACGTTTTTAACAAATCGTACATGTGTGAACCTCGTACGACGTTACCCCTGAACACAAACTCCCCCGAATCGTTCCATGTGCTTAGTCCTTTAGTTTTAGACATTTTGTCTAATATGTATCTGATGTTTTTCACACTTCTCGACGGCACATTCTTCAGAACCTCGGATACGATGACGTCCTCCTTCACCTCCCCGATGTCTCTAACGACTGCTGATGATTGTTCATCTTTAAGGCCGGGGTCCGGATGGGGTAATGATAGCGTGAGAACGGTACTCTCACGATCACCTTGTTTAACAACGGTCAGAAACCTGCTCAACGTGTTTGTGTAAAGTTTGGCTTTTTCATACGGATTCAAATCAGTACGTTGTAAAATACTCCTTATGGCACCATCCAAATCATTCTCCACGGTCTGTTGAATGTTCTCTCTGATATTTTCACTTTTCATCTTATCCAGCTGATGATGCGGAACTAAATACATCTTCTCGGCATACTCCATAGTAACCCTATCTGTTTGCTATCAAGCTCGAGATGAATGGGACAGCGACGCTCAAGAGCGGTAAAAGAAATCCGCCCGTCTGATTGAAGACTTGTTTCTTAGCCGCTAGACCGATTTTTTTATCGGCGACAAATTTTATTTCAGCTTTTCTCTTTTTCAGTCTTCGATACTGTTTTTGATTGACCGGAATCGTACCATAGAGAATGTTAAGCGCAACTTCACACAGAGTTAAATGAATTCGTTGGATGCCGATTGTAAATAGGGCGGCGTAAATGATTAGGAGTGCCTTTATGTAGTAGTTTTAAAACCGGGCAGATGCTTACAAAGTCTGGCGGACATAATGATTT